AATGGAGAGATGGCTCAGCAGTTAAGAACACTGGCTGTTCTTGCAGAAGACCTGGGTTCAAATCCCAGCATCCACATGGCAGCTAACAACTGTTCCTAACTCCAGTTCCAGGGGATCCGACAGTCTCTTCTGTCCTCCATAGGCATTACCTGACAGGTGTACTTACCTACATGGAGGCAATACAAGCAGACACACAAAATAAAAATAATAAAAATTAAAAACAATACTTAAAATATGTTTCCAGTAAAATTTATATTTCAGTTTATGTAAATTTATATTTTATGTAAATTTATATATTTACATAAATTCTATGTAAATTTATATTTTCAGTTTATGTAATCTGATGAATTATTAATCTCTCCTTAAAAATAGAAGAGCTTTTTTGCTGGATATATAATTTTTGCAGCATGTCTTTGTCTTTCAGTATATGAATAAACCCAGCCATAACTCTGGTTCCATGGTTTCTAGTGAAACCTTCACTGTTACAGTCATGAAGTCTTTCTCATAATTTTTTCTCACCATGCTCTAGCTGCTGTTTACAGTTTATCATGTTTTCAGTCTCTTTGGCTTGGTGTTACTTGTTCGTTTGCTGAGCTTCCTGAATCTGTGTGTGGATGTTTGTGTCAAAGGAGAAGGTTATGCAGCTCAATTCTTGAAATATTTCCTCTGTCCCTTTAGGCCACTTGTGTACATCTACATGGAACTTCCTTTCGATTACTCAGACACAGAAAATCCCTGATGTTCTGTTTTCTTAGTTTGCTGTTTCTTTCTTCTGTCTACTTGTCTTCTGTTAGGACTCTGAAGTCAACCTTTCATCCCAGGTTCCACAGCCTCCTGCTCTGTATTCTCTATTTGTTTCTTAATAAAAATGGTTAATCTTTATTTACATTTACATTTTTAGATGAGAAATTGTTCTCATACTGTTTTTAGACATGTTCTTTTGGCCCTACCACAGATTATTAATTGATAATCAAAGCTGAAGTCTTCACCCAAGTCAAATGCCTTGGAATTATCAATGTGATTTCTTTACTTATTTTTGTCTTATGTTTTTTTTTTTTTTTATTTTAGTCTGTTTGATACAGGGTCTCCCTGTAGCCCCAGCTGTCCTGAAACTCTCTATGTAGACTAGCTTGGCCTTGAAATCACAGAGATCTGCCTGCCTCTGCCTCCAGAGTGCTGGGAAGGCATGCACCACCATGCCCATCTTTGTCTTATGTTTTAATGATAATATGTTATCTTTGGAAATGGAGAAAAAGCCCAGTAGGTAAGAATAAAAACTGTTTGTGCAGAAGACCCAAGTTTGGTTCTAAGAACCTAAATCAGAAGGATCACAACCACTTGTAACTCCAGCTCCAAGTTGATCTGAAACCTCTGGCCTCCTCAGGCAGCTGCACTCGTGCACATTCACACATACGTGCAAACAGACAGAAACACACACACACACACACACACACACACACACATACAAATTTAAAGTAATAAAGTAAATCTTAATAAAAAAATAATTTGTTGTTTGTATTTGTTAGTATTTGTTTAGAGGAATTTAGTGAATGTTTCTCTTAGTACTTTGTATTGTTTTTGTTGAAACTAGGCATCTAACAGAAAATGTCCTAACTTGGCTACTTAGATCCTTCCCACATTCTAGGATTTTGAGTTGTTTATTTGTATGGTTTGCATTCTCAACTAATTTGCCAAACTCTATATTTTATTGTGTGTAGTTTTCAAGGTGGTTGATTATTAGCTAATATTTGGACATCTTTAAAACACAGAAAGAAAAAAAAAAGCTCTCAAAACAGAAAGTGTCCTAAGTGTCCTCATCTTTACTAACTGACTGTGTAGAATATTGGTACATTCATTCAACATTTATCTAAGAAATTGCCTTGCCTTCCATCTGTGTAGGTCCTCAAGGCAGTCATGAGTGGAAGCCTAGACCTTTCTCCAGTCTTTAATAAGCAAACCTTCATCCTTGGCATATGCATGGTCCCCTTCCTCGGCATAGCTTTCTAGGTTTTAATAATAACTTAGTGCATTTTGAAGCAAACTATTTTAAATTATTTTGCATGGACAGTCTAATGTTTACACCAAATTTCACCTACAAAAAAATTTAAGTAATTGCTTATCTTTTTGACAAATGCCAGGCTGCAAAAAAGCTTTTGAATGGAGAGAGCTCAAAGTCAGGTCAAATCAAGGCAGAGCAGTCTTCTAGGAACCTAACAAACACCAAATAATAACATTTCTTTGCAATTTAGAGCATGATTGCCTATCCTGCTCTTCTTTTCTGGTACATACCAAGCTCACCATGCTTGTTGGATTTAGGCTTTTCAGGATGATCAGGCAGAAAGGGCATGGCATAAACTTTTTGTTTTACAAAATTGAGTGTGTTTGACTGAATAAATGATCTCCAAAGTGTTAAAGACTCTGAATCGTTACTGGATATGGAAACAGTTGATTATAAGCACTTTTTTTCCAATATTCTCATGGCTTTCATTTAGGAGAAATTTATGAGGCCCTTATTCTATGATGCTTTGTTGACCTCATTCAGATGAACTATACTCCGCAGAGTATGAAAATCTATGGCTGCAGGGAAAGGGAGTCAGTCAGTGTCTTTTGAGGGTGTGAGTCATGAAAATTTAAGGAAGCTCGAGTGGATGGAGCCACACCAAAGGAGATATGGGATATGGGGACACAAATTTGACTCTATAGTTCTTTATATATATCTACATGGAATGGCCAAGGAGTAGTAAAGGGACTTTAGATAAGAATGGGAATCTAGGGCCCGAAGAGATGGCTCAGCAGTTAAGAGCACTGACTGCTCTTGCAGAGGACCCGGGTTCGATTCCCAGCACCCACATGGCGCCTATGAACTGTCCTTAACTCCAGTTCCAGGGGAATCCGAAGCCCTCTTCTGACCTCCGTGGCAGAATTGCACTACACGGGTGCACTCACATACATGCAGGCAATACACTCACACACATAAACTAAAAATAATAATTAAAACATTTTTTTTAAAAAAAAGAAGGGGATCTAAATAGAATCAAAATATATTTTATGAAAATCACAAAAATTCAACGGAAAAAAGCTCTTGGGGGGAAAAAGGACAAAACAGAAATCAAAGAACAGCACATATTTTCTCAGGATTCTAAATAGTAATTTAAAATGAATAATATCTGCCATCAATAGATTATATGAATAAAACTTCAGTTTTAAATATATTGGCAATATAATAAATGCATTCATACATAATTTCACACAGAGCCATCTATAAGTGTAGGGGATATGCCATTGTATTGAAAGTGATTCTATCTATCTTATAGAATATTTTTACCTTATTTTACTTCTTATTGAATTTTTGCAACTTTCAGACAATAAAATTTGATGGTATTTAGATCCCCTTCCCTATCTCCACCTCCCTTTATTGACCCTAGCCCAGTTTAATGTGTTCTATTCTAATAATATATATATATATAAAATAAGGACTATAGAGTCTAATTTGTGTCTCCAAATGTCCTTTAGTGTGGGTTCATCCACTGGAGTCTCGTTAAACTACCCAGAATACCCTAATT